TACGCTAAAACTCACACATCGGATTTTGTAGAGAAATGTGCGAATTTGCTTTACCAAAGCATCACTGATTTGCTAGGCGATTTGGACCAAATCGTTGAATTCTATAACATTCAACTGAATAACGTTGATAAATATAATATTTCAGTGAACTCACAATATTTTTATAATCCAATCTAAGATTTCTGACTAGAGTCAAGAGATCTCCAAGTTCACAAATCTCTGTCAAGATTCGAGGGTAATTTGGGGCCGTTGAACAGGCGATCAAAGAAGGAATATGAGGATGATACTCTAATTGCTTCATGAAATTGATTTCTTGTAGGAATCCTAATCTGAAATGAAACTGGTAATCTGGAGTTGCAAATTCCTTCAGACAGTAAACGTTTTCTACAAGATGCGCTTAAGGGGAGGCTATCATAGCACTATTATGGTGCTTCTAGCTACCTCCTCGCTGGAAAAAGCCATCGTAACCTTTGTTACGGCAGTTTTTTAAACGAAAATCTCCCTAAAAAACCTAGAAAGCTACCATACCTTGCTTTTCCAACAATCAGCAATGTCACAGTATGGCAAACTAACGTGACAATAATAGAAAACTTATGTTAGAGTATAAAAATCAGTGCTAAGCTTTCCAATTGGGATAGAAAGCAGATTGATTTGCTAAACAGAGCTATTGATGGCAACCATTGTTTTTCTCACTCTAATCTTTTATAAGACTGGCTTGCTCAACAATAGTCGAAATTCCCAGGTTTTAACTAACAAATAGCAAGCTAGCCAATGAAGAGATCTGAATTCACTACTTGCAGCCTTTTCCGAGAAAATCCTGGGTTTAAAGCGTGGTAAAACTACTGTACTCCTCCAATTTGCGCGAAATTTCATTTTTTAATTCTTGTTCATTTCATTTAATTCTTTTTGCGTTTTTTTCAACGTTTCAACGTTTTTTCAACTAAAAAGTCACAAAAACAAAGCTTTCACCATAGAAAATAATAAAAACTACTTACCGTATATACTCGAATAGAAGACCGGTCTCGATTATAAGACTTTCTCGAATAGAAGACGAGGCCTAGGGGGTGATCGAAAAAATATAGAAGACCGTCTCGAATATAAGACCGGTCTTATATTCGAGATACCCTGTTTTCTATTCTGTGCAAAAGTGGACGTAATCAAATACGGGAGAAGAATAAGGGAATTTACCCAATAGGGTAAAAATTTTATATTTTCATTTAATAGCGCTATTTTTTTGGTATTTTTCTACATCTTGTATTAATAATTCTTTTGGTACTTTTCCATTATACCTCCGCCATCTCCACACTTTCGCTATACCCCACCATTTTGATTTTGATTATTTTTAATTATTTGATTATCTGATCTTTTTTTACCTAAAAACTGGCGGGGTATAACGGAAATGTGGAGTTGGCGGAGGTATAACGGAAAAGTAGCATTTTTTAAAGTGATGGGACGTGCTACGAAACGAAAGCCTACAGTGCCTCTTTAAACTCGAGGCCATTCGTTTTTCAAAGAAAAACTCGAAAGAGGCGGCTGCTCGACAGTTTAATGTGACTCCAAAGATGATTCGAAACAATAAATTTCTATAAAACGTTTTTTTTAAACGCTGATTACTTTCCTGAAAGTTTTCGTGGAATAGAAGACCGGCCTCGAATAGAAGACGGGGTCTAGGGGGTAATTGAAAAAAATAGAGGACCGGTCTTCTATTCGAGTAAATACGGTAATCAATAGATGCTCCCTTTTTCTCGATGACGTTGAGTAGTCGACTTTTCATCGAGTTCACTAAGTTCTGAAGCGTTTGTGGTGGAATTGACGTCCAAGCCTACAAAATTGCTTTTTTAAGTGGCGGAAGCGTGTCCTAAGTATTTCCATTCCATAGAAATGGTAGAAAAGATGAGTTAACGTCAATTTCTCCACATCCATTCACAATCACTTCATTCTCTCTTCCATCAAAACCAATTGGCCGGATGAACTTCATTTCTTGAGTTTCTGTAATCAATGGGTGATCAAATATTATGGAAAAATTGGAAAATTAACATGTGGATTTGTTGATTATACTTTCAATTAAAACTGAAAATGCATAGAAAGCCGTTAAAGTTGTCTCCTTAAAAGTTTAGATTTTGCGGGTTTTGGTTTTGAAAGATATTATGAAAAATAAAATATATTTGAACTCAGAATGGAACTCATCAAGTTGTTGCTGTAGTGTTGATGTAAATATTTCCTCTCCGTCGCAAATTCATCTTTTGTGGATGCGGAAAAAACAGATTTTTTTTTCTGTTTATCTAAGGTTGAAAACTTTGATAACTTAAAGATGTGGGAGCTGCAGATAATGCGGATTTGAATGAAACTGCTGAAGCCGATGAGCTTGCTGAAGAATGAGTCCATAGAATGATTCAAGTTAGACAGACCATTGTCGCTACTTTTTATAAAATTGGATAACATTTTTAAAGCATTTTCGAGATCAAAGAATTTAGACTGAGAATTTTATACAGGGTAGGCCAAAAAAAGTGTTTATCTTCGCCACTATGGAAAATTTTATTGGTTGAGTTTACCCTATAGTTGAACAGAATAAGAATTAGGTTATCTATTGTTTTAATGAAACGTTGCATAAGTCTAGAAAGCGAATTACAATACTAATATGTTACTCGTTACTATGTTATGTTACAATACGTTACTCGAAATCCCTGAAATTCTGACAACTTGAGAAATGGTAAAATGGAACGAGAGGAAATTATTCATATAGCTCCCAAAAAACCCTCATAAGTTTCAAAAAAAAGTAACGAACGAGCATTGGGAAAATTTTCGCTTTATTTCCTTGAGATAAGGACGTCAACTCCTTGGCAATCAGAAAAGTCTTACAAGAAGGACGCGTTTGAAAAATGCCTTTATTTTATTGGATTTGGCAATTCTGAAGTCTTTCTAAAAGCTAAAATTAAATTTAAAATAGACTGAAAAATGGCTTTAAATGATGAATACAAATCTATTAGATTGACAACTTGAAATTTGATACACTTTTTCGTATTTTCCATAAAACATATTTAATACACCAATTGAATTAGACTTCTCTAAATAAAAGTTATATATTATCGAATTTAAGACATGCTTAGGCAAATTTGGGTAACTTTTGAAACGAATTTCAGCAGAGATTGAAGTTTTTCTGAAAATTCTTCAAATGGAACTTGAACAAAAATGATTGATTAGATCAAGCTGAAAATTTGGCTATTTATCTAATTTGTTATGCTCTTTTTTTTTATTGACACTAAAATAGGCTTATGTGGAAGAAAGTGCTCAAATCACTTCTTCGAGTGTTCATCATTTTTGGTTCATCAACTTCTTGCTCCGTAGAAACCTACAAAACCGAAGCTTTTCTAAATCTGCCAAAAGCCTGTTTTAAAGAATCAATAGACCTTTTTTGGGTGAAAAATGTAGATTAATTAGTGCACTAGTTATTTCTAAAAAGTGCAAGAAATAAGTGTACAAACTTTCAAGTTGTAAATATAATATCTTTTAACTTGAGTATGATTCATTTTCTGTATTCTTTTTATCAGCATTTTTTTAGTCGGTCCACTCTTTTTGTGCTTTCAGGCTTATCTTATAGACAAAAATTAGAAACGCAAGAAGCAAATTTTTTAGTTTTTAGAGTCTTTTTGAAAAAGTTTGAAAAAAGTGTTTCTAAACTAATAAATTTCAATAAATTTTGCGAAAAACACAATTTTTGTTATTTTCCTCTTTTTGTTTTTTGATTTTCTAAGCACTAGTCCTTTCAGCGTATCTCATTTCATTGTAAATATCATTTTTTCGTCGATTTTATCAACAGACTATGATACTTTTTATACACAATTTCAACTCGTATTTCGGAAATAAAATGAAGGTGCTTTATTTAGGATTTTTGAATTAGAAAACCTGGATAGTTGGCCCACAAAGCTTGAAAATGTTTTGTGTTGTTAGAAAAATCGCCAAGCGCCGCTTACGCAAAAAGGAAAAACTTCTTACCGCGGACGACAAGGAACTCGAGAAAGTTTTGCTAGAAGATATTAAAAGATTGGAAAATTCGGTAAAAATAAAAATGATTTTCAGAAAAAAAATTCGGTTCGCTTTAGGAAAGATTCTTTCCGGCCCATTTTATCAAAGCTCGTTCGGCGTCAAGTAAGAGATTTTCTTCTCACCTAATTGTCAATATTTAAGTTTTTATCAATACATGTCTGAGAAATTTAAAAATTTCTGTAAACATTTGCATTTTTTGAAGCGAAAACGCCGATAACCGTGCCGGGTGGAGCAAATCAAGTCGCCACAGGACAGAATACGGCAAACAATTCAGCACATTTATCTTCCTCAGGTATGGCTTGAACTTCTCAAATGAACTTTCGGGGTTTTGTTTTTAATGTATGAATCATTTTTGTAGTTTTAGATGTGGAAGCAGGCTCTGATGCAAATACTTCAGGATCAGCAAATGCTTCAGGATCAGGAAATGCTTCAGAATCAGCAAATGCTTCAGGATCAGGAAATGCTTCAGAATCAGCAAATGCTTCAGGATCAGCAAATGCTTCAGGATCAGCAAATGCTTCAGGATCAGGAAATGCTTCAGAATCAGCAAATGCTTCAGGATCAGCAAATGCTTCAGGATCAGCAAATGCTTCAGAATCAGCAAATGCTTCAGGATCAGAAAATACCTCTGGATCAGCAAATACTTCTGGATCAGCAAATGCTTCAGGATCACCAAATGCTTCAGAATCACCAAATGCTTCACATTCGAGAACTCATTTTTCAGCAGGTTCAGCAGTTTCATTCAGATCCGCATTATCTACAGCTCCCACATCTTTAGGTTATCAAAGTTTTCAACCTTAAATAAACAGAAAAAAAAACTAGTTTCGTCCGCGTCTTTTCTTCTCATCTAATTGTCAATATTTAAGTTTTTTATCAATAAAAATCTGAGAAATTGAAAAAAAATTCTATAAACATTTGCATTTTTTAAAGTGAATACGATCAGGTTGCGATCACAAATGCTATCAGGTTACCAAGCTTTTCGAAAAACATTCATTAAAATAATTTAAGTATATAAAAAATTTAGTGGGACAAGTTGGCGATGCAAATGGCCCAGCTGCTCCATCGGGTGAGCGAAGCTTTTCAGGAAGATCAACAAAAACATTTAGCTGAGGATGAAGAAAATGCGGAAGTTGCAGGAACAAATGCGGAAGATCCTTTGATAGCACGGGGTTTTGTTTTTAATGTATGAATCATTTTTGTAGTTTTAGATGTGGAAGCAGCCGCTGATGCAAATGCTTCGTCCCCACTTACAAAAGATGAATTTGCGACGGAGAGGGAATGTTTGAAATACATCAACAACTTGATGAGTTCCATTCTGAGAGTGGTAGAAGTTCACTGAAAAAACACAGTCAATTTGAAACAAAATTTAGAAAACCATTGTGAAGCTGCGTGACAAGCATTTGGCACGTCTAATTGTTCACGCTTTCTACAGGTTTAACCTTTTTCTTTTGGGTTTTTTATAGTTGGCCCAAAACCCGCAAAATCTAAAAACTTTTAAGGAGACAACCTTAACGGCTTTCTATGTATTTTCAGTTTTAATTGAAAGTATAATCAACAAATCCACATGCTAATTTTCCAATTTTTCCATAATATTTTTCAAGAGTTTACCCGAAAATTTGATAATTTACTCCTAAGTACAATCTATTGGGTTGGGGAGAATGATTCGGCGCCGAAAATCAAAGAAATTTCTAAAACTTCTAGCAGACTTCGCAAAATAATATGCGTTTGATATCAGTAGAATGGTTAACTAATTCTCTACAAAATGACATTCAAAAGAAAACTCAAACAGCGCCTCAGCTCAAGAAAAGACCATTTTTTCACAAAAACTACAAACTGTCATCTAGAAAAAACAATTGGTGGGATCTTCCTGCAAATTTGGCAACTTAAGTAATTGAATGTGCTCTATCTTTTTTATATAAACACCAAAGAAGGTTTATGTGAAAGAAACTGTTCAAATGGTGAGTCGAACTCTTTGCCATTTTGACCAGCTGCGTTTGGAAGTTCATAAACTCCACGAAAGAAAAGCTTTGTGGAATCTCTCAAAAGCCATTTTGTAAAGAAATAGTGGACCATTTTGATGAAACAAAACGTGTATTTAAAGAAGGTTTTATGGGTGCAAAAAGTTTCTTTAAATTTCGGCGCCGACTCATTCTCCCCAACCCAATACAATTGGATATAGTCTTTTTGGGACTCAAAAGATCTAAAAACTACAGAGTAAACACAGGTCGTTCTTTACGTCAAAAATATACAAGTAGCTATTTGCTGTGTATTGCGAACATTTTCAACTCCAATCAACAAATCTTTATTGATCAATTGCATAGTGATAGAATTACTGTAGACAAATCCCTTGTCCTTTCAGAGTTGACACGTGTAAAGAATTGTGGAGAAGATGCGAGTCGCCTCTCATGGCCGCGTTGCTTGTCGAGTGTATTTCCAAAAAACTCATCGAAAAATTCGAGGAACAGTACGATACTGCAATGGCAAAGCTTTTCCAGCCACAAAAAAGGTTTCTAAGTGAAATTTCTAATTTAGCACAAAAATTTTAGCAACTTTTCTGTTTTGGCTTACCGGCTACTCGAAAAGTGCCATATCCGGGATCACGAGCAAGCTCGAGGGTTGATCAATGAGGAGTATTTGGTAAAGCAAACAAAAAAAGAAAGCTGCAGCACGTTAGTTGAAATGGCATACGAATGCAAAGATGAAGTAGGGCTATCAATTAGGGAGGAAAATCAGAAAAACCCTCTAGACTTTCCTCGCTCATGTTTTGTGTCAAGATGCTATGAACGATCGTTGGAAACCAGGGTTTCGGTATTTTTTTCAAAATCATAGATTAAAAGCAAAAGCTTTAATTTGTCGAGATAAATGTGAAGAAAGAAGAATTTTTTTAGTAGCTTTGACCTTTTTAATAAGAGAAAAGTTGTAATTCGCTTTTTAGACTTATGCGTCGTTTCATTAAAACCACGGAAAACCTAATTTTTCATCTGTTCAACTATAGGATAAACTCAACCAATAAAATTTTCCATAGTGGCAAAGGTAAACACTTTTTTGGCCTACCCTTTTTAAAATATTCAAACAAATTCTTTGATCTCGAAAATGCTCTAAAAATGTTATGCGATTTGCTAAAAAGTATAGACAATGGTCTGTCTAACTTCAATCATTCTACGAGGGGATTTTGAGAAATACATAAGAAATGCGTTAAACTTTGTTTATTTTTGAATCCTATACTTTTTCTAGGAAGTTTTTTTACTGGTATCTAGATCTTCTCGTCTCGGTTTCTTAATGGTTTACATATTAGCAATTCCCTTCTGGTTGCCCCTAATCTTGCATCCATGTGGCTTCGTTTTTGAAGAAGGTGAGAAACATACACATAAAGTCACTCAAAATTTCTACTCAGAAATGGATGACGAAAATGAAGAAGAAAATCAAAGCTGTCTTGAGGGTCTAAAAAGCTGTGTCAAAAAGTGCGCATCTCCTCTCCACATCTGGATGAAAATCAAAAATGGTTTCCACAGATGGTGGTGTTTTGTGACATCACCATGTTTTCGTTTCGCACTTTATATGGTTCGTCTTTTGGCATCTTTCCTTCAAGGAACATATTTCAAATTAGACGTGTTACGTGACCTACTTGAGTTATTTCATCTGGCTACTATTGGGCATTCATGAAGTGGAAGACTTCCAAAGAGAATTGACACGAAAGCGTTGGATGTTATTTTCTTTGTGAGTAAAAAGCTTTGTTATAACCAGCTAAAGACAATGCCTGAAATGTAACTTTCGCTGAATTTTTAGATGGCAAATGTTTTACCTTCTTGACACCTTTTGCCAATATTTTTCCTTTTCGCAGCGAAAACGGCTAGGTCAGCCAAGATCACACGCCGATGTGGAGTTTTCTCGATTAGTAGAAAAGAATATAATCATTTAAAGGGTCTCTATAAGTTCTTTTGGAAAGATCGTGCCTACACGACGCTCATGTTGGGTTTAATGGTCGTCAGCTATCTGTTCGTCTGCTTGGTTCTGCTACTTTCTTCCATGGATTTCTTGAGGTTTTGTACTTTTGCATTTAAACGTTGAAAGTTATAATTTAGTTTCGGTTCGGAAAGCAAGAAACTAGCGGCGATTTTCGAGTAACAAATCTAAAAGCCTATTTCATTTGAATAATGTTATTTTAGAATCATCAAGTTCTATGCATTGCTTTTTTACGAAGTTTTCTTTTTCCTCAATTTTATCTTTGCCGCTTTGTGGACGTTACGCGTTTTGACGGTTTTCCCAAAGCTGAGCGCAATTGTTATGACAATCAAGAAAATGGTCGGTTTATCTCTTTGGAAAAGAATTTATAAAAATAGGAAATTTTGGGTTTTGTGTTTGAAATTAATGCTTTACGATTAGCAAAAAAAAACTTCTCAAACGGGCACACGAATGTTCGAACTGAAAGTTACATAACGATTAAAATAATGGGTTTTTTTTAGACATAAATTCAATTAAATTTAAGCTTGAATTATCAGCGAATTTCTTGCTGGTCTCTTTGTTCTTCTGGGCCACATATGGTTTATGCCAGGTTTCCCCCTCTTTTCCATTTATATGTTTTTCTTCTCCAGGTGTCACTACGTGGAATAAATAACGAGAGCAGCATACAGTGGTCACTTTTTTCGTATGTTTTACCGTAAAAACAATCGATAAGCAGACTTTTTGCCTTTAGAAATGGAGCCTTCGAGATCTTTGGCGAATTAGATGAAAAAGTCAAAAATGGTACACATGTTTGGAAAGTTTATACCTAGTTAAACTTAGCAATAAGTAATTATTAAGTTGATAATAACGTAATAAGTAAGTAAGAAGCTGGGCTGGACGAAAAAGCCAAAAGCCATGGCCGTGATTTGACCCAGCCAGGTCAAGGTCAAGCCAAAAGCCAGCCAGATGGCCTGGCCTGGCCTGGCCTGGAAAATCGTCTCTTCGTCCAGCCCTGATAAGAAGGCAAGGGTTATGGAATTTTCGTAGGGCTATTCGATGTTATTTGGTTATGTCGTAAGCTAGAAGTTTAGGCGAAGTGAACTGCACGATGCCCTCATCGTGGATCGATTTTCAAGCAAACGAACTTCAGGTAACTAACTATTTATTCAAATTTTAGAAAAAAAACGCACCTACAAACAATACGATAATAATAATATTAATAGTAATAATAATAGTAATACGATGTGAGGTAACGGTGCAATTTTTGATATTCGTTCAACTGATGAGGCACCCACTTTTCCAACTTTTTTACTTTTCCGATTTCCTTGAGATGGTTCCCAATTGTGTGTGGGGTGACCCCAAAGTGCGTTGCTAATTTTGGCTCCGAAAAAAAATACTCAAATACATAAAAAGACCCAAGGTCAGTAAGCATCTGCAGCCGCGTAGGCGACGCCGGAAAGTGAGACCCACAAATACGACATTAATTTTTTCCGTACCTAATATTTATTCAAATTTTAGAAAAAAAAACGCCCATACAAACAATAAATTTAGTGCGCCTTTCGGCAATGGATGATCCCAGTGTTTCTCTTTTTGTACACGATCATCACAAGTGTCCTCATTATCAATATTCTCACCGTTTTAATCGGGTCAGTGTCAGTTTTTTTCAGCAACCATCAAGCACATCTGTACTCAATAATTCAATAATAATGTGTGTTCCTCGTGAGTAATAGTATGATATATGAAACGGATTACGACTGAATAACTTTAAAGTTATAGACAAGATTTTCAAGATACTGAGTTTTTTTCTACCGTAATCCGTTTTCCATATCGCACTATTACTCACGAGGAACACAAGAACTCTAGTGAGTACTACCAAGAAGTCGTATCGACGGAACAATGGAGAATCCTTTGGTATGAGAGAATTGTCGACAACGAGGACAAGCTGTTTTTTCCGCCTCCACTCACCCTACTCAACATTTTCATCTATTTTCCTCCTTGGTTAGTGCAAAAAAAAAACACATGGAGTTTTGCTCGCTTTAAAGTCATTTTCCTTTTTCAGTTTTTTTGCAAAGTTTCAGTTTCAAGTCTCTTTTCAAAATTTCAAGCGAATTTCTAACTACAACAACTAATTCCGGAAAAGCTTTTTCCTAAACATGCTCAAAAACTTTTTACAGGCTCTATAAAATATGCTCTTCACCAAAGAAACGACCCAACACTGACTCAACACCCAACACTGACTCAACACCCAACACACTGACTCAACACCTCAACATATATTGGTAATTTTTTCCAAAGTTTCATTTTCAAGTCTCTTTTCGCTTTAAAAACAAACTTTCAAGCGAATTTTAAACTACAACAACTAAAGCTTGTTAACACACTAAAACACAACACAACAGCTTAACAACTAAAAAAGCTTGCTCCTAAAAATGCTCAAAAACTTTTTACAGGCTCTATATAAAGCGTTGCTGTTCATCAAAGAAACGATCCGACACGGACACAACACCCTTTTACATATATTGGTAATTTTTATAGAGCTTGAAAAAATTCTCAATTTTAGCCGCAAAGGA